TCTGGGAGCGGAACCCTTTGGCCGCGATCCCTTTTTCTTGGCCGACTGAACAGAAGCGACGGAGTTCACAGCAGTAAATGAAGCATTGGCCGGTTGATACTGCGTACCTTCCAATGTCTGTGATAACTGAGCAGAAGTGTAGGAATCATCCGCTGGCTGGACTGCCTGTCTTGGAAGAACGGCGGCATCGGACACCTTTGGCCGATTTCTTGACCCCTTAGGCCGGCCTCTCTTCTTCATATTCCCCGGGGTCTCAACGACAAGACTGTCGTTGCCGGATCCATGATGCTGTATGGTACGCGCTGGAATAGTCGCTGCTACATGGCTGGTAACCGTATCCGGCCGCGTTATTCCTGGAGCTTCAACATGAGCTGGTTCACGGTGAGGGCTTGCGGCTTGGGCAAGCAGCATAACATTAGCATCCACCATGTCAGGAGTGCTTGTATCGCCGCACTCAGCGTCGACCCAGTTCCTATCAGTACCAGCCCCTCTGTGTGTCCGGTCTGTATCGGGGATGTCCTTGCTAGAGCCCTTTTTCAAGCCTTTGTCCTTACGCACCTTGGTGGCCTTGCTCCCTTTTGGCCTTCCCCGTTTTCGCCGAACTGGTTCAGGTCCATCCATTTGACGAACAGGGGCCAAATTTTGCTGCCCATTGTTACCTCCAAGTTTTGGAAAGATTTCGGCTATCCAGCCAACAAACAAGCTTCCCGAACCATTCGCCTCGGCGCTTTGGGGAAACTCACCGTTCGCGGGCGGCGGAGCACCAGGTATGCCTCCGAAAAAAGCGAGGGCCTTGCAAATCTGATCAACGACAAGAAGCGGCTGCAGGCTTCGAAGGAGCGTCAAAAGACGTGCTTGTTCTGATTTGGTTTCGTCGGCATTCAAGGGAGTTTGGCGGCCTGACATATAGGGCGCCTGAGCGGATGTGGTGGCTGGAACGAAAGGCTTCGCCGTCTCATCCGGTAACTGAACAAATTTGCTTCTCCTATGAGAAACATAGCCATTCTCGAAAGCTCGTTTAGCGGCCAGCTCCGTACTCTCGCTCGTACGTTTGGCTTGAGCATCTCGTTCTGTTGCCTCGGCCCTCCCGGCCACCCCCATATGCATAACGCTGAAGTTCCCCTTGGATTCATCGGTTTTTCCTTTGAGCTTACTTGGAACGGGGTTCCGAATCCGGCCATCCCGGTGAGGGCCGTTCGCAGCGTCCTGGAGGTTCGACTCGGCCGGGGTAAGAAGGCCAAACCCGCCTTGAACGGCGGACGCAGTTGCCGAATCAATGGCGATATTGGAAACTCTCCCGACAGCTACAGCCTGATTCGCAGACGGGGGAAGAGACGGTACGGATCCCGGCTTTGGCACCGGGACCGGAGTCACTTTCTGAGCGGGAGTATGCCGGCCTGGCGCGGAAGTAGTGGCATCGGCCGGCCTAGCAGCCTTTGGGCCTATGAGAGCAACATGACAGCCAGTCAGCAACATGCACCAAGTATATGGAGGCGAAATGCACGAAGGGTTACTCTGGCCTACCTGAAGCTGTAGCCATGGAATCTCTACCCGCGGAACAAGCTCGAGTGGCACCCGGGCAGTAAATGTTGCTAGTGGGGCAACGGGCAGAATCTGGATTGGAGAGCCAGAAGGGGGCAGGGCGAATGGAATCCTGCTGTTGCCGCAGAGATTGAGGTCAGAAGTGCACAGCTAGAGCTCCTGCTGTTCACATATTACTAGGCGACGGTTTCTTAACCCTGGATGAGTGCCTAATTGTCTGTTACCGGGCGCAAGATTAGGGACGGACGATTTGATGGCGGGAACAGAACGAAGACGGGTAAGGGTAAGCGTATGGTGGACGGATTCAGATGCTGCTGAATAGGCAACTCTGGAGAGGTAACCAACGAGATCGAATCCGCCGGCCGCGGCGATGCTGCCGGATGTTCAAAAGGGCGCAGCAAAACTTGATGTGCCGGTCGGGGAGTCGCAGCGAGCTGACTGGTCGCACCATGGACGAGTGGAAAATGATAGCAACTGAAATGGCTACTGTGATGGCAACTGTAATGGCGCGCTTATGGTCCGTCTTCGACCACGGAACCTGTCACTATGTAAACGCCAGACGCCGCGGCTGCGTTGGAGTACGCGCCTCCACTGTTGAAATGTACGTTGTAACGCTCTGTAGCCGGCCAAACTCGGCCAAGCGCGGAGAGGGAGAGAGAGCACAATCGCGAGATGTGTGCTTTGGGGGTCGCCAGAAAACCGAGTCGGGTTCGGATGTTGTTGTGCGGAAATGTACAGTCGGCCCTCGTGGTCGGGCTGTGCTGCTTGAGTAAAAGCGTGCGGGGATGACAGGTTGGCCTGCAGGCGCTCGAGGGCACTCTTTCCCGGTCGAAGGTAGGTAGAGGCAGCGAGGAACCTCAGACGAGATTGACACCTACAGAGAGGGCCACCGGTGTCTGTGCCTGTATACCTCTAGCTCTCTATGTGCTTATAGATGGCAAAATTGGCTCTAATTGTATCCTCCAGGGAATCACCTCATCACACGGCACTGGAGAGATTCTCCTCCAACACCTGACATTCATATGTCTCATCGTCGTGAGATTCCCGTACTGCAACGCCAGGCTATAGTTAGGTATAGACACAGGCAAGGTAGGTGTTCAAACACAATACCTCTAGCCACAATGGATGTGTACAGTCCGTGGCTCGTGCCAGGCCCGTCATGGGCGCCAGGTGCACCTGAGGCTCCAGGGAGTGACGACTTTCGCTTCCACTTCCGGGCACTTCTTGTAAAGTACCGCTGGCCCGTCGGTGCCTGTCTCCAGGACTTGCCTAGCCGCCTGAGTTGGTAGAGGTTTTTAATCCCCAACCCTCAAGCTAGAGTTCCTAGCAGAAGCGCATGCGTAGTTCGTGCCTCAGTGCTGGACAATGTACCATCTAGCGGTACTTAGGTTCGGTGAATTATCAGGTTATCTCTAGTTCGTGGCCTGTCTGGTGTACCAGATTTAAGGAGCTACCGCGCGTACGGATTGGGGCTCAACTCATCACCTCCCCTCCCCTCTTACGTAGGCCAGCACGGCCGCTCCCCACTCTGAACCTCGCGGATAGCTCTACGTTGGATCGCCATCCATCGTTGTCAATAACAGTCCTATTCACCCTTTCTCATCACTTGCCGCCGCCGCATTGCCCCTGGTCGAATATTCCCATTCATCTCTTCATATACAGTCTGAGTCAAGTCCCGCCTTCTCCTCGTCGACGCGGCTCCTCCCTGATTGCTGCCGAGTTGCGCACATACAGCCCAGCTTCACCATCACGACAGCGAATTTCTCTGGGTACAGTGGTAGGGTGGGCATAGAAGCATCGCTTTCAGTGCCCGAGGACCACCGACCATGGCACCGACAACTCGCTACTCGCTCGTCTCTCTTCCTGTCCGCATCTTCGACGACGAGCCCCTCTCCGAGCTCACCTCCACCATTGGTCAGGACAATGGAGACATACTCGAGTTCTCCATACCCTCCTTCAAAATCGGTACACTTGATGCCTTGGTGCAGCATGCCGATGACCTGACAAAGCTCAACGCCATCTGTGAGGCAGTAGTGTCCAAAGTGGCCGATTCCCTGGCAGGCATTCTTGACGGGGACGAAGACAAGATATCGCAGCAAAAGATGGTGAACGATAGTAAGCATTGCTCCTCCGTAGAACTGATGGCGCCATTGCTACGTCGATGATGCTAACAATGCCCAGAGCCCACGGACAGCTATATTTGCTCCTTCCAGTGGAACAAGGTTCGCTACCGAGCTGAAAAGCCCCTGGGCGAGTTGATCGAGAATCTACAGAAAGATATCCAGAACATCGATAACGATGTTAAGGCCAAGTTCAACCAGTATAATGCCGTGAAGACGAATTTATCTGCCTTGCAAAGAAAGCAGACGTAAGTCACTCAATGTTGCGCCGTCTCTCGGTTACTCCGCAAGGCACTGACTGCTCTTCAGTGGCAACCTTGCAACCAAGTCCCTTACGCCCATAGTCCAGCCTGACGTCCTTATTCAAGACTCTGAATACCTGGAAACACACCTGATCGTGGTTCCTTTGAGTGCACGCAAAGACTTCCTTCGGAGCTACGAAACCATTGCCGAAATGGTTGTACCCAGGTCGGCTCTTCAGATAGCGCAAGATGACGAGTTCATCCTATTCGCCGTTACAACCTTCAAGAAAACCAGTGCCGACTTTTTGCACAAATGTCGCGAACACAAGTGGACACCCCGTCAATACAAGTACGTCGAGGGTGGAAAGGAGGAAGAGCAACGCGAGCTTGAGCGCATGGTCAGGGAAGAAAAGAAAGTCTGGGGCGAAGCTTTGCACATGGGAAGGTCAGGTTGGAGTGAGAGCGTCATGGTCTGGGCACACGTCTTGACTTTACGTGTTTTTGTCGAGACAGTGCTGCGATACGGTCTGCCTCTGGAGTTTGTGTGTGCTCTTGTCAAGGTAGGGCTTCGATGAGGGATGACGACAGTGCGACTTACGCTGACACTGTGGCAGACCACCCCCAAGCAGGCCAAGAAAGTCAAAACTGCTTTGGACAAGGCATACTCGTACCTCGGTGGAAACGCCTTCGGGAGAGACAAACGAGGGCGGTTTACTAAAGATGATGCCTCTCTAGCATCGGAAATGGCCGCGGCAGGTTATTCCGCGGGTGATGCCAACGAGTACACGGCTTATGTGTATTATGAATTTGAATTTCCTTGATGGGTAGGTTTTAGTTCAGAGCCATGCGGTGGCGGCGACAGCAACGACGGCGGCGGCGAATGATAAAATGTGCGCACTTGGGCGTGATTCTCACGCACCATGTGTCATATACGTTGTCAACAGTAGGCATTACTAGATAGGTATTCTCCCCTTGAAAGCGCCCGACAAGGACAGCACATCCGCTCGTGGTTTCGGTTAATGACTTCATTCAGCTTTCACGCACACTTAAACGGGTCCCCAGGTGTGGGGTGATTGTATCCTCGTCCAGTTCAAGCTTATCTTGTCTCCTTAGTTCCGCTGATGAGACCAGCCTCGGCCAGGTAATCTACAATCTTCTTGACGCACTCCTCCACGCTTAGAAGGTCTGTCCTGATGGTAATTTCAGGCGACTCTGGTGCCTCGTAGGGCGCCGAAATGCCAGTGAAGTCCTTGATTTCCCCAGCGCGGGCCTTCTTGTACAGCCCCTTGGGATCTCTCTTTTCGGCCTCAGCAAGAGGAACGTCAACGAATACTTCGATGAATGGAAGCACGTCATCTCCAGCCTGTGTCGAATTTGCGTGGAGGTCACGCGCGATCTGACGGTCGGCGCGGTAAGGAGAAATAAACGAGGTCAGGGCAATTGTGGAAGAGTCGGCAAAAAGCTTGGCTACCTGAAAGGGCAAAATCCAAGGGAGTAAGCACGAGAAGCAAACAGAGTGAAGGGGAGAAAGCTTGGGAGCTGGTGGATTGGACATACCTCTGCGATGCGCCGAATGTTCTCATTGCGGTCCTTTTCCGAGAAGCCAAGATCCTTATTCAGCCCGAAACGCACATTGTCACCATCCAGCCGGTAAGCGGCCAGGCCGATGTGCAAGAGATGCTGCTCAAGAGCGGTTGCGACTGTCGACTTTCCCGATGCTGACAAGCCTGTGAACCAGATGGTGAAACCACGCTGGCCACGCAACTGGTTGCGTTCATGTCGCGAAAGCGACGGATGCCAGGTGATGTTACTGTATAAGCCACGAGTCAATGTCAGTCAGTCTTTCTACCTCTCCTGGAAGCCACGCAATTCTAGCAAGAGGCGGATAAATGGGCGGGAGAGGATCTGGACTTACGTCGCCATTGTGACTGTTCGCGGCAACTGTGATCTAGAGTTGTGATGGTTGTGACTGGATTTCGGGCAGGTCCTTTGGCGCGCGCAACAGGCAAAGACGGGCAATAGAAATGGAAAAACAAGGATGCGAATGACTCTGAGCTATTGTTACCACTCAGTATGTTAGGTCCGGTGTAAACGCCGATGTATGTATCGACCCGCCTCCTTGGTTTAGCTAACGTATTGCGCAATCGCTCTCAGCGGCCCTTTGTGTGACAGAAGTGGGCCCGACAGCGCCGAGTACCGCAGTACCGAGGTACTCTCGTGCTTATCGACGAGGTTACACCCCAGTTCTTTCTTCCTCCGGTCTACATACCTTTTCGGCACTCCGTCTATAGATGGTAAAGGGGGCTACGATGCATACAGGCTGGGCAGTCTACGGACGCCCATTGATAAATATGCGAGTTTGTATGTGTGCTAGAGATCTAGGGGGGTCTAGTGTGCCTGTTCCATCCACCTTGTCTACGAAGTAGTACCGGAACTCCATGTGTCGGCGGCCACCAAGCCCGATTAAAGTATTCAGTCGACTGCCCACTCCTCTTCCTTTGATAATTGTACGTCCTACAGCCAGCTGGCCCGGTGCTCCTGAAGGGGCTATATTACAGGCTGCAGGCATCATGTCCTCTATGAGCTTCTACTTGACAGGATACACTTTTGCCATTGTCTGATCATTCCAGGATTAGCTTGATAGACTCGAAACCTGCCAATAGAGAGATTTCAACGTACCGCTGCTTGCTTGGGGGAGATGTAGAGAGCGCTTGCTGTCACCAACACGGTTGGCTCCTCTCCTTCCTTGGACGGGAGTGTCTCGATGTGGCCTTCCACCCAAGCCTTTCGTCCTTCCACCTTGACGGTGGTGGCCCGCAAGACAAGATACTGGTCGGCCATGGCGGGAGCTTTGTAGTTAATGTCCAGCTTGGCCGTCATGCCGACGTTGAAAGGCAACACGGGGAAGCAGCATCTGGCCAAACCTTCATCGAGCATTGTAGCCAGAAAACCGCCATGGATGACGCCCATGTGACCGCACAGATCAGTTCCAACGTGGGATATCTGTACAAAGTTCTTTCCCGTCTTCTCGGAAAAGCTGAAGGGCGGAACCACCACTTTTCCTGGACCCATGAGGACGCCACCCGTCAGATTTCGTTTTCGCCATGCCTCAGGAATCTTCATGTGTGGACGTGACTCGATGAAGTCGGGATTGGTCCTCAAGGAGAGGGTCAGGGGATGCGAGTTGATAAAGTTCTCCTTGGCCTGAGCGTCATCATCCGGGGGGGTAAATAGAGAGACGGTTTCGGCGTCGCTGGGCGGTGAAGTGATGGCAACCATGGTGTCGTAGGCAGGCGCGGCCGCGATCACAAAGCCGAGTGTTGTGAGAAACAGAGCACGGAAAGAAAAGCGGAGGGTAGATAGAATCGCCCGAAAGAAGAAAGGCCGAACCGGCGATGCAGGGGCAGTGGCCGGGTCTAAGGCGGCAACATGCCGGCCGATAAGTCAGCAAGGCCGGTAGAGCAGCAGAAGCATAACGCCCGGGCACGGAATAAGAGGGATGTGGGCGGCTCACTGAAGTGACTGGCAGACGAATACGGCCGGCAAGGTGTGGTCCGGAGTATACAAGCCGGAACCGAGCGTGAAGACTGAGCGGGACGGCGGCGTATGAGCCAGGATGCAAGCCGAGAGGACATGATGCAGCAGTTTGGGAACCTGTCCTTTTCCAGACCAGCGGCCACTATAACCTAGGATACAGCAGCGTCGAGCATCCGACGATACTGGGCTGCCACAGATCTCCAATGCGTACCAATATATGGTTTGTCAGGCCCTATGCAATCCGTAGATGTACCCAACAAAACGGCCCTGAAAAGGGTCAGGAGCTGAGTTCGCGATACGTGCGTGTAGCGGGGCAACGGAGAAAATGGGGCCCACCTTTGCGCAGCTCCCTGCCCAGATCCAGTGTCTGCGGAATGGGTCAAACGGTGAAGTTATGGGATCGAAGCAGCAGCAGCGGCTATACACATCACCCCTTGTTTAATTGTTAGCTCGGTACTGTTAACCCCCATAGAAAAGGACGTAGAGCAAAACCCACGCTAACAATTAAACCAGGGTTGATGTACAATGCGAGAGCTCTTCACAGCTCCTGTGTAACGGCTACTGTAGAAGTGTAGTTGGGCGCGAAGGGTGTAGTAGGTATTTTGACAGCAGGGTTGGGGCCAAAGCTTTCATGGGCTGGAAGATGAAGACTTGCGACACAACCCCCTTTCGGATCATCGTCATCATCGCCGACTTGGGTTGAATCTTTGAAATGTCCACGCCGGGTACTGTCCGGTACACTGCCAAGAGACCCACCACGACTAACCTCTTCACATCTTAAATCCGATGACCCCTAATGTTCTCCGCTTTCTCCACCACATACCCCTTGTCACATGTCCCTGCGTGGTTGGCCAGCCAGCTCATGTGTAAACAATGAGACAATATCAGTTAATCCCATGTGAAAATTCGTCGGGATAGGTACGTACCCATGAGGTATGTACGCTACGTAGCAGTAGATGTAGTAGCATTCTATCACGAGCAAGCATCAGAAACATCATGGCTACTCCAGTCATTGTAGCCAATACTGAAATCATTGCCTTCTTGAGCAAGGAGGCGAACAAACATCTTTGGTAGGGCATGTAGGCGAATGTCAACAGGGGAAGGATCTTTAACCAATCAGGCTTCGAGAGCTACAGGCTAACTAGTTTTTCACCCAAAAATCGAAACGCTTTGCCCAACTACACTATTCGTCGGCCATGCCATCCTCACCAGCCAGCATCTCAGCGTAATCATCTGCCGAGGCAAATGTTGGCAGACCCCTCATCTCCTTCCTGCTAAGTCTGCCCTTCTTCTTTGCAGTCGAAGCATCCTCCTCGCCAGCGCTCTCATCCACCGCCGCTTCCTCTTCCGAGTCATCTGAATCATCGAAAATGCCTTCAAATGGCACATCACTGTCAGATCCCTCGAAGTCCTCGCGAGGGCCATCCATATCAAGGCCGACAGTGTCCATCTCCTCGTCTGAGTCGTCATAACCATCCATTCCGAGGTCGGATTCGTCTTCATCTAGCTCACCCTCGACCTCGGGTCGAGAATTGACCAATGCTTCCCAGATCTCGTCTTCGGCTTCTTCCTCTTGTTCTTCGCCGTCCAGACCACTTTTCTCCTTGAATGCTTTCTTGCTCTTTGCCATGTCTCCAGGCTTGCCGATGCGAGCAAAATATTCATGGAAGAAAACATCTTCGGCGGAAACCTGTCCTGGTTTGAGATTCCAAAATGAGGCCGAGTTGACGGAAGGCTGCTTCTTGGCGCCATCTTTGCTGGAAACGACAGTTTGGGAGGCGCCACCAGTAGCGAGGACCGGCTGCATAATTGAGCTTCCGCGCTTGGTCTCGGTAATCTTGGGGTTGCGGTAGACAAACTTGTCCAGGAAATGCATGAGGTTGTGGTTGGCCAAATCCGGCTTCGGCAGGCCCCTTTGACGGACGAGAAGGTTATTGGCATAAACCTGTACGGATGGATGGAAATGAGATAGAAGAGGAGCCTGGTGGTCTTGAGGTTAGTAAACTGGTTTCACATGCAATCAGAGTTCAAATAGGCACTTACCAATTCCCACAAGCAGCTTCTGTGCGCATTGCTATGCTCGGGATTTCTCTTTCGTCCATCATATCCTGTGGCACGACGGGAAGTTGGTGCATCTTCACGCAAGAGACTGCTCTGCAGAGCCGCATCATCATTGACATCCTTGTAAGCCTCCACGCCATCATCTTCATTGTCCTCGGGGACAGTAAGCAACGAATGAAGGTCAGGAAACATGTTCTCCAGCTCGGAAATCAGATATAGCACCCCGCATGCAAAGGACGGCTGATGCAGGTTAAGCACCTGAACCAATCTCTTGACAAAAGCCTTCACTCTCCGCACGTCGGCATCATTCTTCAGGGCTCGAAAAAGTAGATTCATGTACAATGCTTGCTTCGATGACGTGATGAGTCTGGGATCCAATAATGATTCGTACAATGTCCGATAAAATCGGTCAACAGCGAGATGTTTGGTCACGGCGAGCTGTTGAATGAGCATGAGTGCTTGCACGCTGGTGTTGAAGTTCGACGAGTGGGTAATGCGAAACAAGGTATCGAGATGTTTTTCCATGGTCTCATCGTCGGCGGTAGTGAAGGGTACCGCACGATTGACACCAGTAAGCAGTGCGGATACGAGTTTTTGTGTCGTATCCTGCTCGTTGGCAGAAGCCTCGGTGTGATTTTGCTTGCCCTTCTTAGCTTTCCTGTTGCTGCTGCCAGATTTGTCCTCGGAATTTAGCGCTTCCAGGTTTCCCAATGAGCCAGTTTTGAGGAGGGAAAGGAAAGCCTCGAAGTAGATTCGGAGTAGCGTGTTGGCTATAGCGGGCTCTTTGGTGCTCAAGATGGTTTGATTCAGGGTGATGATGGCGTAGTATTTGGTGCGCAGACCTTGGCCTGGCTTGAGCAAAACCTCTTGCTCTACCGTGCTGATGACAATGCTTTTCATCGCAGGATGAATGTTGAGCAACTGCAAGAGGAGGTATGACGCCCGAGATGCAATTTTCCGTTCGCGATCACCGAGTTTGTTAACAAGAAGTCGCAACAAATTGGCCTCTTGTTCCGGCTTGTCCCGGAGCAACGTGAAAACGAATTCCAGCGCACGCATTCTCGAGTGCTCAATCTGATCAGTCGACCAGATTTCGAGGAGCTGGACAATGCGAAAATACGCTGCTTTGAGCCAATCCTCGTATGCCCACATCATCAGGTGAGAATCAGTTAGGTTGGCTGGGAGCTTCTGGCCCTGAACCCAATGCAGCACAGCTTGATCTTGTAAAGCGGCCAGCAAGGCGGGTTGCATGTTGAACGGACGAAGCCGGCGATTACTTGGCAGAACTGTGCCATTGCCCAGCAGATCCACTAGAGCGCCCAGGGCAGCGAGTGCCTGACTACGGCTTTTCTTGCCGGCCAACCCGATCAGGGTTTCAAAGGCTTTCTGGTTGTGGAGAGGAGACTCTTGTATCGACAAGGTCAAGGCAGATACCTTGTCGGATAAGGTGCCGGAAGACATAATAGTCGACATGAACTTCTGAGTGGAGCTGGAGGCCTGGAGGGCGCTGTATCTTGCCGCGTCCTCCTTCAAGAGAGCCTCCGCGTAAGCTTTGAGGTTGGCAATCGCTGAAGAATATTGCCTAACGTCGGCAGATGGTGTGAAGGCAGGTAGGCCCTCGAGGTCGAGGGCATGCCAGTCAGGCCTGGGCTCAAAACCCTACTTAAGTTAGCATACCGCCAGGTAAGTCTGCGGCAGCGAGAACATCGAACTAACCAGCTTATTCTTGCCTTGCTTCCCGCGCAGGGTGTCTTGGACGGTCGTAGTTGTGCTCTCACTTTTTACTGTGGCAGGAATGGCTAGAAGCTGTTCCTGATCCTGGCTGTCATCCTGTTTTGTTTGTTCCGCGTCGTCTTCCTCCTCTTCGTCGTCTTCCTCGTCTTGTTCCTCGTCGACGGGGTTTTCAGACGACACGCTTTCAAGGTCATCCTCACGGGGTATGTTCTGGAAGCCCAGGCTCAAGGCGAACTTTGCCAGTTCATCATGAAATGACTTATCCAGGGATTTTTCAGGCGCCGACGCGGATTTCGTGCCAGGTCCCTCTTCATTGTCGGAATCAACATTGGCGACAAGCTCAAGATCATCCTCGTCTCCGCCCAAGGCCAAAATTTCCTCCAGCAGAACCTCCTTTGTTGTATTGTGGGACTGGTCTTTGCTGGAACGGTCCTGTTGTCCTTCTTCAGTGCCCAGTAGAGATTTCTGGCGCCTCTTTGCATCTCGATCATCAGCTGTGGTGTTCGGTCTCTTGCGCTTTGGTGACGCGTGTTGGTCAGTGCCGACGCCAGCGAGAGTTTTGTCGATCTTTTCGGTCAGTTGAGCAAGTGCTGCTTCGTCGAAAGCCGGCCCCATGCCTTTCCTCTTTCTTTGCCTCGGTGACTTGGATGAGCCCATATCTCCTAAATCCGTCTCTGCCGAAAACAATGGACAGCGGGCCGGCGCAATGTGTCTCGAGGTTGGCTGCTGGTGATGCAAAATAAACCATCTACGAGGAAGGGTGGGAAAAAAAAAATTGCTTGGATCATGCACCTAGCGGACCCTCGTACGTCGTGCAGGAAAAGTGGAGCAAGTGGAGGTACTTATGTACACAGTACACTGACAGATCTCTATGTACACTCCAAACCTGGTTTATTATTGGCGCGGTACTTCGATTGACACCTTTCCTTCTCAAGTTTTGTTCGGTGGACTTTGGCGATGCAAGCCTGAAATGGTGCTAGAAGTGTTAAGTCCTACGCTAATACTTAAACCAGAATTGAACTGTACAATCTAACTCTGGTGTGTTTGTAGGATTGGTACCAAAAAACACCGATTTCTACTCTAGAGCCACCAAATGTAGGAAAAACGTGCGATTTTCATTCAGACAGGTACTGAAAGGGGACCACTCTCTCATATCTTCCAGTCTTGGGGGTTTTAAACGAGACGGAGAGAGGCATAACAAGGCTTCTATAGCATTTTCCACCCTGGCTATTATCATATGACGCTTCAAACGGAGGCCCTTTTCTCTCTTTAGAGGCTAATAGGAGCTCTAGATAATTTCTCCTGTTCAACCTATAGCCGAAGAACCAAACTAACAAACAAACCAGTATTGACTTGTAGAGGAACCTGCAACCGGGAGTTCAGTGCCCGTGGGTATGTGTCGGATTCACCACCTAGAGGTAATGAAGCCCACTCACCGGACACTTCCATTTGGGTGAGCAGCCGGGGCCTAT